CCTATGCGCCACTGATGGTGGTTGCGCTGCAACGGAGCGCCCGTATTGCATGCCGCTGTGTTGCTATCGTGAACATTACACTTCTTATTAAGCGCTCGGCCGAGCACCGTTAAAAAAAGGAAGTATCCTGGGTTAGTCACTAGGAGAGGGTACGAGTTCGACCTTAGGAGCGGTAGTTCGCGTCTCTTCAAATGGCACCCTTGAAATATTCCTGTATGAGTACGGCCCCGATACCAAATTGACTGCTGTCGCATTGAATCTCGAGGGAGAGTTGCGGATTATAGTAGGCGAGAACAGGTGCGTTAGTGATGAGTTCCTTGATTGCCTGGAAGGCCTCTTCTTGTTCTGCACCCCAATGCCAGCTTTCGCCTTTATGAGTCAACTTTCTGATCGGTGTCATAACATCAGCTAACTTGGGCAGGAACCGGCTCAGATAATTGATCATCCCATTTAGCCTGCCAACCGCTTTCACATCTGTGGGGAACGGCATATCTCTTATAGCTCTTACTTTCTCAGGGTCTGGTTTTAGCCCTTCCGCGCTTAACACATGCCCATGAAATATAACCTCTGTACTGCGTAGTTCGATCTTTTCGCGTTTCAGTTTGATGTTTCTTTCAACACGACGTTGTAAAAAGCTACGAAGGTTCTGATTGTGCTCTTCACGAGTAGCGCCAAAAACCAACACATCGTCCGCTACGCAGAATACTCCCTGTAGATCGTCCAACGCTTGCATTGGTCGCTTCTGGAAGATTACGCTAGACACTTTCAGTCCAAACGGTAAACGAAGCCAACGGAACCGCCCGAATGGTGTTCCGAAAGTTGTCATGTAGCTTGACTCATCGTCTAGTGATACGTGCCAGAACGCAGAGGCGAGATCGACTTTCGTAAACACTTTAGAATTGCATAACACCGGCAGCATGTCGTCTAGTGTCGGTAATGTAAAATACTCTCTCTTGAGTGCGGCATTAAACGGTTTCGGATCAATGCATATACGCAGCTCGCCTGACTTTTTGTAATAACCTCCACCTGGCTGACCCAATCAGTCGGTTCGTCAACTTTAGATATCACTCCCAGACTACAGAGACGTTGCAACTCTTTCAAGAACTTTTCGCGCAAGGCAATTGGCACCTTCCTAGCTGGTAACGCCACCGGTGTTGCTAGCTCATTTAACGATAAGTGAGCGGGTCCCTCGAACATCCCTACTCCGCCAACAAACACACTCGAGTACTTATCAAAAATATCTACCTCGACGTCACATGCATGAACAAAACGTTCGTGGGTAAAAGAAACAAAACCAAAACGCTGGATTGAATCAATGCCCAGAATGGGCATAAGGTCTTCCGAAACAATCAGGAACTCCAGCGGGTGTTCTGTTCCTTCCTTTGGATTGACCGTCTCCAAAATGACGATGCCCTTCGGTTGCAGCCTTGAGCCGTTCCACATTTTGAGACACTTTTGAGTTTCTTCACATCGCACTCCCTTGCAGTATTTTTCAGGCAAGATGTTAACCGCAGCCCCGGAGTCTAGCTGAAAACGTACCGGTTGTCCTCGAACCAAAAATGTTGCAAACACGCACTTACTTTTCGCCTGGCCATCCATGTTGTTTATCAACAATTCTTGTTCCCGTTCTCTGGCATCGTCGGCAACCGAACTCACTCTGTATGATCTACAGCAACGAGCAAAGTGACCTTTCTTGGAGCACTTCATGCACGTCCGACCCCGCGCTGGACAACTCTCCTTCTTCTTTTGGTGCCTGCGGCCGCAAAACTGGCAATCAGTTACCAGTTCATCGGGTGATCTCGGGATACGTCCCTCGGTTCGAGATACTGCGAACAACTCCGTATTCTTTTCGGCGCGCAGATGTTCGACTTGGTGATCTGTTCTGGCCTCACTGAGGCAGAGGTCGACACACTGTTCCGGTGACAAGTTCCTTTGTCGCAGAAACCGGCGTGTGAGTTCATCGTTCCTTATCCCAATAACGATGCGATCCCGTATTAGTGACTCCTTCATGCATTCACAGAAATTGCAAGTTCGTGCCAGGAGCTTCAATTCTGTGATGTATCTCTCGAACGACTCCCCCGGTAAAAGAGCGCGTCCAAAAAACAGATATCGTTGCTAGGTCTCGTTCACACGCGCTTCGCAGAACTCGCCAAATGTCCGCATCACTTCGGATAGATACACCTTCTGACCGCCAAACTTCAGTGTTTCAAGAACCCTCCTTGCATAGTCACCAATAGCGCGCCTAAACATTGCGAGTTGGTAGTTCATCGGCTGGGCGTCCAGCTGAGTCAGTGTGGCGAAATCCGCCCACTTGCTCTTCCAAATCCGCCAACTGTCTGGTTGAGAACTCTCAGTCATCTGCAAAGGGGATGGAAACGGAATCGCCGGTTGACCTCCAACTGCAAGCTGCATCTTGGGCATCGGTTTCTTCTTCTCCTCTGTCACCATGTTAAGTGACACGGACACGATCAAAAAGTCATGATGGCGGCGGGCGGAAAACAGGCGTTTATTCAGTATAGTGTAGCCTATTTAAAGGAAATAAACACTGTTAATCTTCGAGTCTTCTCAGTGGGTCTCCTGCTTTTCGGCTCACCTCATTGGTTGCGTTCCCCTTTTATTTCATTGGGTTATGTTATTCCTCTTCGGTCGCTATCTTCCTGTCTCGCGCAATGATCACGTCTTTCGTGCTTGGCATCTGATTGGCCGTATTTCTTTGGACCGCTCATATTTGGCTTTGCATTCTGAAACTTGCCGTTAATAGCGATTCTCGAGTTGCCAGTGCGCCCTCTATGTTCTATTGTCCAATCCGATCTGTCGGTTTCTGGATACTTGTGCCACTCGTGATTCGCTGTCCAGCTATCGCTGTGTCTCCCGGTGGGTTCACGCGTTCTCTCGATCGAACTGATCCGCTGACTCCGGTAACCTGCGCTTAGGTGGCAAGGTCGAGCATACTGGACTGGTTTCCTAAACCCCGTTACAACCACGACGCGTTTCGATGTTATTTCATCTCATCTGGGGGATAGCAGACCCCAAACCCGGGACCATTGGAATTTTACTCAAAACCGCTACCCCTTTAATTAGCGGGTCACGACGCGCGACGCTTGGCATAGCGGTTAATGACTGGTTGAAATGACATTTTGAATTACTTGTTGTGTGGTTGGATTGCGATGGGCAATCGCAATGTAAACCGCGATTCCCATTGAAGTAACCCTTTGTCAATCGAGCAGCAGGATATAGGTTGCAAATATAAGTTACTTTTTTAGGGCGGGTAACACCCACTTTCAATATGCTTCGGTTGTATGATACATTAATGAGAGGCTAGTGACAGAACTTTTGATACAAGACGTAATGTCTTAGCATACTAATCTGATAACATCCAAAGTAGAGGGACGAAGTAGGTGCGAGGAAGCACGACCGGGTGAATAGCCCCAGCTGTGATGCACTAAAGATGGTTTCTCGTGCACTGATTCGACATTCTTATTGTAGGTATTAGAAAAGCGAATTAACAAAAGCAAGTCAGTGAAATGCCGAGGCTTGCTACTGTCCAAAGATAAAAATCTGAGATTTCAACACCACGCAGTTAGAATCCCTCCAGAGCAGTGAACAATGAACAATGAACAATGAATTTATACGGGTTAAGAAGCGTTGCTTTACAAGCCCCGTTGGATAGTTGGTGGGGATATCCACATAACAATTATGATGAAGAGGATAGTAAAATAGTTAATACTTTAAATACGAAAATAAGGACTTATCGTTTGCTTCGCTGCAGTCCTGCGATCCTCTTAGATTCACTGCACCCACAGTTAACAACAAATAATTCCATGGTAAACTCCAGGTGTAGGATGGAGAGATAGTGTAAAGTGACAAAGTGTAAGTGGATGAGTGCATCGTCCAACCGTCTTTTAAATATTGTTAGTGTCGGTGCAGAAACGACCGATTCTGGGAGAGCATTCCACGGGTGACAGACACGAATGGAAAAGAAATTTCTGCGGCACTCCAGACGACTGTATTGTTCTGCGAGTTTTAATGAGTGGCCCCTCAGGTTTGTATTGCTGCTGAGTTGCAGTAAAGGGCGGCACACATGATGTGGGTCTCGCAGAATCAAGTATGTCATAATCAGGTCGCATCGTAACCTGCGATAGCTGCCACTGAACAATCCTAGTCGTCGCAGCCTCTCCTGGTAGGAGCGATTGCGCATTCCAATGACGTTCTTAGATGCCCGGCGTTGTGGCTGCTCCAGTGCATTAAGGTCGTGTTTCAGCCATGGATGCCAGGCTTGAATTGCAGTGTGAATGAGTGGTACCGGGAGGATGAAAGTATCGCACGGCACTCCGCTTTTATTCTTCCACAGATCCACAGACTTGGAAATGATCTACAGGAAGCCGTCTTCTAGCTTCCTCATAACACATAAGATGCACCAGAGTTGTCCTATATATCCTTTCCTTCTCAACTTTGTGATCGAAACTATAATAGTTGATTCGCTTTTGCAATAAGTCATTAGATGTCTCAGGCAAGGCTTGCTCGAGACTTAGTAGCTAACGAGCATAGAGTTTGGCCAACAACCTGATGTCTTGGGTTCAGGTCGCAGTCGTACTTGCTATCTCTTTGAACTACAACGCAACTGTATCGGAAACCAGTCAGGAAGTGCCGTGTTATGAGTGAGTAACATATAGAGTTCATCTACTTCATTGGCCTAATCGACTAAGGTTCACTTCAAGGTAAATCGTGGTCCACGTTGAGAATAAGTGTTGCAATTCGTGCACACGTCAGTGACCAACTTGTGTTGATAAGTTGAATATTCTTCGGATGTAAAAAACATGAATGGATTCCGTTGTGAACCGAGTTCTGGTGGTCCAATAGGGGAGGTAACTCACTGTCTCAACCTAATAGAAGAAATGTGGTCAATGGTAGAAAGCAAAATCTGTTTCAGACAAGAGAGTTGAAACTGGCTTGTAGGGGGAGGTGTAACCAGACGACGCTAATTGGCTAAATGAACTTACCTTTTGCAACCAGAAAAAGGATGATGCATAGGCGCAGGAAAAACGCTGAGAGAAATTGAAACTTGCTAGGAGGATGGACCTGCACTCCTTGCGCTGTCTGACGGACACTGCGGTCGGAGCAGCTCACGGCAGAACAATCTCGGGTGATGCGGAATCCGCTGTTCAAAATGTCTAAGACACAGACAAACAGAAAAGCGAGGTAGAAATCGACGAAGGTTCCAATGCCCTCAACAAAGAAGCCTGAGTATGGTGAAACGCGTAGATCTGATGGAATTTGTGTCGACTCGTTTGTCTTGGATGTGAGAACAGTCAGCAGCTTGTAGCTTGCGGCGTGATGTTCTGTGAGTTTCAGTGACCACCAAATTTGTACAAGTGTTAGTGCGACGTGGGCACTCAGTAACTGGAGAGCCCAAGTGATACCGACCCAAAATGGATCCGATTTTCGACGAAGGAGTCTGCAAAATAAAAGATGTGAAATAAATAAAAACCGTCACTGACCAAGTAGCACAGTACCGCTGTACTGTGGACGCTTCGCTGTACTGCAAATGTCATACTTCGCATCCTAACAGAGGTACTTCAAAGTCGTTCGCAACTGTTCCGGATCGAATTAGAGACTAATAGAGTAAAACCCAGGCACCGATATCTCTGTCTCCGGTTTGCTGGATAAAAAGAACCATAATGCGCAAAAGGGGTGGGTCTAATGCGGCCTGGAAGTGATTAGCTCATATAAAAATGAAATATGGAACCTTCTGTTAGATTGCGTGTATGTGAAACAATAATCCATTCACTATATCACTGCGTAAGGACTGGTGATATGATCGACGATAACAAAGTCGTACCACTGTCTGCATGGTGACTACTTTGGCAACAACAAATCCCACAACTAAGTAGTAGGACAGTGAATGCGGAACAAAACTGACAATTTGTTTCTAAGCTGAGTTGTTATATGATGGACTTGTTGGCAGTCTTTTGTTAACTCCACGTCTGTCATGAATGAGACAAATAGTACCATGCGTTCAGCGATATATTCGTTACACAAGACAAGAACTTCTTGCGTCTGAACTTCAGAAAACTCTCTCCTGTTGACACAGTATCTGTTTTAGTGAAGCAATATATCGTTTACTAAACATCTTATTGGTATGCACACTGCCAAGAAGTACCAAGAGCTTGCAACAAACTTCAACTCAAAACGGTTTCGATGCGACGACCGAACCATGTCTTGGTGCTGCTTTACAACCTGTTGCAGAAAAACCTATTCCGACTTGCTTACACCCAATCAGCAACATAGGTCAATTCGGAAGCTTCGTAACAAAGAGTATACAAAAGGCTAGCACATATATGCGCTTAAATTTCTTCCTCGTCTGATATAGCTATCTGTGGAATAAACTGCCAAGCACACTGGGGTCGTGTGACACTGTGTAAAATTTTAAGTGCACAAATGATATATATATATATATATATATATATATATATATATATACTATCAGGAGTCGAAAAAATAGAAATGGAGACAAACAAAAGCATGGAAATCAGCGGATGACAGATAGAATCGCCGCAAGAAGAACGGAAAGCTATCTGTTATTTTATCACGCGCCATTTTTGATTATTGTTTTGTATCTATTTTAAATGTTAAGCCTTAAGCATCCGAACCTAAACAAGTGTATTCACAGATATTTCAATGGTTTCGATTGCTCCCCATTTCCTGAATTCTTTTTAGCCATTTCGCACTCTTTGTATTTGGATCCCCAACCATGCAGGCGTGTGGACTCAGCGGCAGCAAGAAGTGAAAGCAACGATTTCATATATTGTCTCCAGATGGATGATTGACTACAGGCTGCACCCTTTCAGTCGAGTCTGGCACGAGCGAATAGGTCGCTATGGGGCAGACGCTCAGCTGACATACACGCAGTACGTGACCGAACAATCTTGAGTGTCGCAGTAAAACCAGCTTGTTAAAAAGAATACTCGCATTGCCTAAGACACACTGTTGCCGCCGCACACGAGCAATCCTCAGTAAGCATCGATTATCGAAGACTGAGAATCGGTGCACATCATCCATGCAAACTGGCCACGACATGCTTCCGGATAGCAAGACCACCCGAACGGTAACATTGTAAACATGACCCTTTACCAAGAGGAAGACATCACGACGACGCCACAAGTGCGGTAGGTTGACAAATGAGGATCTGGTTTTGGCGATGTGGAGATAAATATTTTTTTGATATCGCCATCAGCGAAAATGCACCTGCCCATGTTTACAAAGCTATCAATGTGTTCAAGCTGTACACCTTCAAGAGTGAGCATGGGAACAGGAGAATGCTAATCCTGAAGGAACAATTTGCATTTCAGCACGATGAAGCACATTCCGTAATTGGAATGGATAGTATACTCTGCGAGTCGTCACTAAGTAGGACAGTGTCAATGGCAGACTCTAAGCCGGTTACTTTCTTACCTAGTATTAGTTACAGTCCGAAATATTGGTAACCCGCCAGTAAGACACTGACTTCCAGTCTAGCTGTTGTCGTCCCCGTACGTCTTCCGGCATGGGGAATCGGAGCTGAAGAACATCGCTGGTTAGAGACTCTTGAGAACATGGCTCGTAATCAGGGATAATGGAACGCATGTATGAGACTGCATTGCATCTAATGACCAACACCGTAATCTCTTAACTAACAAAAGATGACAAAACGGCATGTGAAAAACAAAAAATACTCTTTGTACATTTTCCTATTATTAATCTTTGTCCTTATCAGACACATTCATTCCATGCTTTCTTGATGGCTAGATGTCTATTATATAGACTACTGTCAATATCTATACATAAACCTCCAGATCTCTCAACAGGACTTCTTGAATTGCAAAATTGAAAACGAACGGGGATATTTGGTAGGCCTGTCCTACATCGATACTGACAACGAACGATAAAAAATGACTACACGGGATAAGAAGAGCTGCTTTACAAGCCCAGTTGGGTGGTATGGTAGGTAATCGAAAAACATTAATGAAAAAGGTAGTTAGTACTTTTCCTGTCAAACAATGAAACAATCGAACGGTTGTTTATAACGGGGGAAAAGCACAGGCCTAACATATTCCGTAGGTTGGTAAGAGAATAAAGTAAAATTCAACTATTACATAAGTGGATCAGTTAAAATATGCGTGGGTAAAGTGCTAGAGTAATTACATAAGAAAGGACGGTTAAGGGAGTAGGATAGTACAGTCAAAACCAAATAAAATTGTAATGGTTAATACTCATAGTGAGTAAAAAGCAGATTGATCACCCCCTGCGCGAAATTACGTGGGTCACTGTGGGTCATAGTTCTAAAGTGGCTAGTTAGCTAGAATAAATCCAGAATATCCGTTCAAGTAACTAGGTGTAGAGCATTCAACTCGATATCTAAACGTATTTTGAAGACAGCTTAGGTGGGAACACAGACAACTGAGTTTGGAAAGGCGTTCCAGGGTTGGCAGACCCGGAGAGAGAAGTAATTTTGTCGACAATCTAGACCAGTGTGTTGTTGACTCAATTTCAGGCTATTCTCTCTGAGTTTGGTATTCTGGTTGTTTCAGTAGGTGGCGTCATACGTGACTGGGCTCGCTCAGTAAGTGTTAAACTAATATGAGGTATTCACATTGCTGCCCGTAGCTTCCACTGAACACTCTGAATATCTTCAGTCGTTCATGGTACCGAAGGTTGCACAATTCCCGACATTGGGGAGTTACGAGCGCTGCAAAGTCACTCTATATCCAAGGATGCCAAGTCTAGCTTGCGTACTCGACGTGTGAACTCAAGTAGGCATTGAGCATCAGAAAGAGGATGGATGAATCCAAACTTCCGAATACCCACCATAAAAGGCCAACATGCTGGTTAACACTTTTTGAAGTGGATTCTGGCTGCCTGGAACAACCGAGGTCGTCCTGTACCAGCACACCGAGGTCACATTCCTGAAGGATTGTCTGCAGATCTTTTGCCCCAATTTCGTAGACGTAGACGTCTCGATGGCGCATGTGGACAACGCGGTACTTGTCCACACTGAATGGCATTGCATTCCTTACTGATCAATGCCACGCCTCATCGAGGTCACGCTGGAGGATCAAGTGGTCATCTTTTCCCTTGATCGCCCGCCAAACGTTTAAGTCGTTCCCAAAAAGTAAAAATTTTGAGGTGATAGCTCTCGCTATATCCTTAATGAAAACTAAGAACAAAAGAGGCCCAAGTACCGAACCCTGCGATACGTTGCACTCCACTCGAATCGGGTTAGACAAAGATTTTTAGACTCTAACCTCCACTTACCGTTCGCGGAGAAAGTTACCAATTCAACTTAATACTGGATCTGCGGTACTGTAGAGCTGTAGTTTGTACAGGAGGATTCGATGGTCCAAGCGATCGAAGGCTTTCTAAATGTCCATGTATGTAACGTCGGTTCCTGTCCTCTCGCTGACTATTTCCGTCCAGCTGTCAGGTTCTATCGGCAGATTCGTAGTACATGATCGATGTTGACGAAACCCGTGCTGCTCCGACTCAAGCCATAGCTTTCCTGGTAACCCATCTGTACCTTCACGATGATCGATTCGATGAGTTAGGCGATTACAGGGAGAAGCGTTACCGGACGATATTTGGCAGGAACAGACCGACTTCTCTCCACGTTAATGGAATTATGTTTTTGTCTAAACAAACTTGAGAGAATACGGCAAGTGGTTGGGCTAGGTTCATGGCTGCTACCTGCAGTGCTTTAGGGAGAATGTTATCAAATCCAGGAGAGATGTGTGTACGCAAGAGTAGTAGCTTATTCAGCATTGTTTCTGCTGTGAATGTGAGGCTCGATGACACTGATGGTGTGGTAAAAGAAGCAAGTATAGTGTTCGAGGCCTGTACCCCTTGGAAAGTAGGTAAGTACTGGGTCCTTAAAGCTTTGGCCACCTTGTTTGTTGTATGTGCGTATATCCACCAAAGGTAGTGAGTGGTGGGATTCCGCGATGCACCTTTCGAAGTCCATTCACGTGTCTGTAAAGAAGCTTGTGGTTCGAACAGAAACGTTTCGTTAGCTCCTGTTGGTGTGATAAGTTGTCTTCAAGAGCCAACCGTACGAATGGACTTATCGTTTATAATGCAGTAGCCCGACACTATGAGTAGTTTCGCAGATTCCATAGGCGACAGATAATAAATCCAAGTTGTTTCCTGGGAACAGGATGGAAAAATCGTGATAAGTAGCAAATTGTAAGAGACTGAGTGCGTTGCCCAACGGACTATGCATATGGTTATTGTAGGTGCAGAAACGACAGATTCGGGAAGAGCGTTCCACAGGTGACAATCGAATCGAAAAGAAATTTGCACCGCACCCCAGGTGGTTCCATTGTTCCGCTAGTTTCAAGGGGTGACTTATCAAGTTTGTGTTACTGCTGATTTGCAGTATGGAGAAACACACCTGATTTGAATTGTGTACAATCTAGTAGGTCA